TCCGATATATTGGTTAACGCCAAATACACTCTTCCGATCTCCATTCTGTCTTTTGATTTCTCTTGGTGTGTACGAGTTATGTTAGAAGGAGCTGCTGGTAAAAGCGTTATGAAACACTGAATACCTGTGACATCTTCATGAGGATTTCAGAAAATTGGCTATATAAAATCCGTTTCACAGAATTGAAGCTGCAATTGAACTAAGATGGTCTAAGCTTGTTCAAAGGCTCTATTTATTAGCTGTGGCCGATTTTAGGTCGCATAACAACTTCATTAGTTAATAATGTGTTCATAGTTGGGATCTATGGCGGTGAAGTAAAGCCATATGATTTCAACGACACGTCGGCAGCACTTATAACTGAGTTACAAGAGTTGCTGACAGTAGGCATTTGTGTAGATAAGTGTCAGGTACATTAAACAGTTAAATTAGTTGTTATTACTTGTTTATTCCAACTCGCAGTTACGTCACGTATGTTGTTGGACACAACGATACCTGACAAATGTCAGGTTTTTTGGACACGAATGGGTGGTCAAATGACTTTCCCCAATGGTGAACACGGACTGAGAAGTGATGTCATAATCTATCCATCATCATGGTAGTAGTGTATTCGAATGTCTACCACTAGATTTGATGAAAAGCTTTCCATCGGGACCGATGCGTATGATATATTTAGGTGTTATTAAAAAACTAATTTCCTTATGGAAGGATCTAGCCATTGATCGACTTAATGGAACAGACCAACCTATTTTCTCGCCCATTACTTTAGCACTAGAATTATGTAAAAATCATACTACATGCGACTTTCGAAGGAAATGCCGTTCATTATATGAAGTTGTAGTGGCATTGGACCATAACCACACTATCCTCAAAGCTGAATACGAGATTATTCGGAAAATAGGTATTCAATATTTAACGCGAAGAAATACCTAACTATGTAGAAGGCGCGAATAATGAACTGAATGAATTAGAGTTGATCGAATGGCATGGCTCGGCCATGCAGGCGTGGTCCCTGCTGAATATTACCTTATATCTTTTATTCATACTAAATATATTGTTCTTCTCTAGCCTAAGCTCGTTCTTCATCATGTATTGGTAGTTGTTACGATACAGTGAGTTGCTGTAGACGATGACGTGACTTCCACGTAAGATCTTATAGATTAGGCAGTCATATCATGACAAATCTACAATTTTAAGATTAGGTCTATCATTAGAGCAGTACTAATATCCCAGTAGACCATAGTTCTACATTGGTGAGCCCAACTAAAGAAACGCAACCCATTACTGTTAATCCTTATTTCCACTTTAACCTTCTCAATCGATTTTTATTTGTGTAAACCCATTATTCTAATAGTCCTCTGATTATTGCTAACATGTATTATCGTAATGTTATACTGATTACTTCTCATAACATACTAGGTCAATCGACAATAAAAACTGGTCGTCTAAATTAACTAATTAGCTTTGATGGTTCTTTAACAAGCTTTAATAGCATTTACATGCTTCAGCGACATAGACTTGTTTAAACATCAAACTCTAGTAAATATGACCTGTAAATAACGTAAATATACATTGACTAACAATGCAATCATGGACTAAATAGTTATCTGGATCTAATTCTCATTGTTCCTTCACTTAACACCATCCTGTTTTAAACTATGCACTATCCTGTAATATCTTTTCTTCCGACCACTGCCTGCCTAATTTCATATTCTCGAGTTCCATTGCCATTATATCATGACAAATCTACAATTTTAGGATTAGGTCTATTATTAGAGCAGTACTAATATCATAGTAGATCATAATTCTACAAAGTCTCTGTATGGAAAGCAACTGAATGTCGGTTGTTCTTCTTGTACTTAGATCCTGTAGTTCTTCATGATAGGTTGCCACTATCATTGTACAGAAAATTCCAGTGCCCTTCCTTGTCAATATATTTATTATCGCACCCTAAGTTGCACACCATATCCGCGAACAGTATTCGGGTTTACGTGAACAATTTCTTACCAGTCTATGAAAACTGTTACGGTAGGAATCACTTAATCTATAATGTGCATAGTTTAAAGCACATTGCAGAGGACGTTATTGAACATAGAAGTTCAGAGTCGTTCTCTGCCTTTCCTTTTGAATCATACATGAGGAAAATTAAGCGTTCAGTAAACTGCTGATTTGCTGCGGCTAAACAAGCTGGACAGCGATATGCCGAAGAAGTTTATTTTCAAAGTTTACTGGATCAGGATGTGGCTGACAATCTGACTGAGCCTGAGGTAAGTTATGATTCATCCAAGAAAATCATTACTTGCAGAAACTCAAAGCTATCTACTACAAGGCCGGACAATGTAGCATTCGCCAATGGTTCACCAGGGTTCGTCACACAAATGGCTGATGGAGGCCGAATTAGGTTTCGGGCATTCCATAATCCTTGAGATTAATATACGGCCCCTTTTCCCTCCAATACTATCGGTATATTCAAGTGTTCTACTTTAAGTCACGAGTGTACGTGGATTACACTGACAGATATACTTTGCAAGTGTATTTGTATACCGAAACAACATTATGAGGTTATTATTCCCCTTTTGAATATATATCAATAGTAAATGTGACATCATTTCTCGATGGCTGTCGCAAATATAAAACTTTATGCAGCAAGTGTCTGTTGGTTAGTGTTTTGGCTTCACCCATCAGGAAGTTTTGGTGAATATTCATAAATGTAATAAATTTTCAATTTTTATCGCCTCAGCATTGATTCACAGCATCAGTCAGGACAATACATACTGGTTAATGATAAGGAGAAAAAGCAAGTCCTTTGCATCCCTGAAAAATGGCTGCTGAACAACGACCATTTTATTTATCGCGATGATGTGACTGCCAAGGATATTATTGATAGTGTCGACTTCGAGAAAATGCACGGAACTGGATCACTGTGGTAAGTAATAATCACTTTATATTCATTGTTTTTAGCCGAGGAAATGAAAATCTGTTTAACCGCAGTACTCGCTTACAGTAAGAAAATTACAACAGATGATGAAACGCTACCGTATGAAGCGGAAAAGCCGAGAAGGCAAATTATTCAACTTACTATATCGCTTTTTTGTTAGGGCTGCCAAACAAATTTTAATGATTATTTATGCACCTCTGAAGAACTAGAAGTCGCTGAGGTTGAAGCTGGATTCGCCTCGGTCGATTTTCTAGTTGTCAACATTTTGACAGGAAAACGTTCACCTATAGCGAAGTATGTACCTATGTAATCAACGCTCATAAAGTAGTTTATCGAAAACGGAGGTTTACTCACCACCGCTTCCATGTACATCAATGGAAGTTAATAAACTGTAAGTCGGAGTTAATGTAAACATGATAAAAAAAGGTTGCGCAATGATGACAGCAAAAGGCTAAAAATGATCATGAAAGCAGCTGCTGAACTGTCTAGCAAGACAAATAAACTGATTGCTTTCAATGAACGCTCATCCATGAGTGTAATGGATAGGCGTACCGACCAAGTAGACAATTCAACTATTGCTCTCCCATTAAGAACACATCAGGACTTGCGTTCTTGTGAAGTTGGTTTAGATGAGTTAAAGTTCTGTGATCAGTTCGTAAGTTCTCACAGGTGTTTGAACAAATTTCAGGTGGCCAGATTGTACGAACTCGTAAATCGGTAAAAGCCTGTCAAAGTTACCTGTTGTCACCGGAACTGGTGACACATTACACGGAACGAAAAGTAAATTTGGTATTAGTAAGTACAAATTTTACCGGACGGTTCAAAGTAAGTCTATACAGGATTAATATATTCGTAGGTGTTCTCTGTTTCCCATTCCGAAGTGCAACGTTTTACATATCATGTCATTTGCTTCTAAACTAAAGAATATTTTTTTATTTTTGTAGAACATTGAATGGTAGTTCAACGTCTACGTAACGTGCTTATGTTACAAAGCAATGAAGAAAGCATGTATGAATCAATGATTTGTAATAAACATTTCAATATGTCACGAATCAGTCTTTTAATTACAGCGATAGATCGATTAACGTTAAGATTCTTTGGCTCTGTGTTTACTGCTTAATTGACTAAAAATAATAGAATATCGCAGTAAAAAGTGTACGTTAGTATTCTCGCCTGGCTTTTCTGTGACATCTGTAGAAATTTGTTGAGAATTATTGCGCTAAAGCAAGTTTGCCAAAACAGCAATAAGATTATGGTAAAATTTAGGGGAAAAGAGCGAAAATCAGGGGAAATTTGGTGGAAAAGCGCTAAATTCAGTGGAAATTTTGAGAAAAAAAACAAAATTCATTGGGAATCTTTGGGGACAGAAACCCCGAAGTCAAGGGAAATTTTGGGGTTTTATTAATAAATATAAGTCAATTTCACCAAAGTGTAATAATATTCTGCGGAAAATTTGCGAAAATTTTAGGGAATTTTGGGATTTTTGTGCCATTTCCGCAAAATTTCTCCGAAGTTCACTATGGCGGCTTCCCCGAAATTTCCTCCAAATGGGTCAAGTTTTACCCAAAATCGAGATATTGGGCAAACCAACCCTGCAAACTTCTATCTTACTTCAGTAGATATGGTTTTTATAACTTCCTGCCGTTATGTCATATCGTTGGAGCCTCAGTTCACTGAGTTACTGTAAATCACATTTTGTATCAAATTTATATGCAAGCTGTTACAAATGAGATCTTGAGTGACTGGAATTAAAATACTGTTCACTGATAAACACCACTTTAGTCGACAAGCTGAAAACAGAAACGAAAGAGTTTACATTAAAATTTCAGGTCACTGATTTACATAGCTGTTTAACGGTGCAAAAGCGACAGCACTTCCTGTCGATCATCTCAGGAGAAAGCCCGGTATTTACTCCAGTTCTGTGGATGCTGAAAGAGATTACTTCAGGTGTTAATTTTCCTTCAATTGTATTAATAACTATAGTGATCTGAATATTCGTCTTCTAGAAGGAAAATCTGAATATATCTTACTGCTCCGTAACCAAAATTACTTCCTTACTGTTAGACGAAGATCCCAAAGTACAAGTAGTTCGATAATTTTACGTTGCAATGTTTGAGATTTGAACGCTTGAACATTGAAACAAAGTCCGGTGTGGCGGGACTGTGCGAAGTCGCGAGGTTCAAACTTGATAATGGACCAGAGTCTTGACGATATTATCCAACAGAAGCGCATCAGAGTAACTAGAGGTAGAGGTCGTGGACGCGGACGCGGTGGCGAATCTTTGCGAGGTGTCCGTCGTGGTGGAGTTGCGCGGCGAAACACAAATGGAATGGTATCCATGTAAAATAATTATTCATTTTTTAGTCACGAGCCTTACCTGACAAATGGCAGCACGATATGTTCCAAGATGGTCGTAGCCCCAAAGGTTCTGCTAATACAGTTGGAAATGCAGCGAGGCTGCACATTTCAAATTTGGACTTTGGTGTTAACAATGATGATATAAATGTAGGTATCTGAGCTTTTAGTAATCTTGTAGGAACTTTTTCGTGAGTTTGGCGCAATTCGAAAGGCTACTGTCCATTATGATAGAAGTGGTCGTTCTCTTGGCACCGCAGAAGTCGTTTTCGTGAACCCACTTAGTGCAACAAAAGCCAAAAATCACTACAATGGTGTACCGCTCGATGGGCGCCCAATGGTCATTCAGTTGGTCGGTGCAGGTTAGTCAACACACAGTCAGCCACGTCGACCAGGAAATCACTTCCGTAGCAACTGTTGACTTCGTTACCATTCAGTGATGTTTCACCTTGTTTGGGAAGATAGTGCTTCCAAACTGACGTGCTGCCAGTATATGTTTTTGTTGTTTTCTATTGCTGGAATGTCTAAAACTTGTAATTCATGGTGTTACCAACTATGGAGCAGACCCACTTTCTCTCGGGGATTTTCACCTGCATCATTTTTCAAATGGTTGGACATTGGCGAGGAGCGTAGTGGAATTCGCCGTTGTCTCGAGGTTCTGGTATTACCATAATCATGGGCAGGGAGGTTTCCTTAGTTTTTCTTTATTTTGTGGGTTTGATTGAGTGTTGTCACATGGGCACACTTGATGCCTACCATATCATGTTTTCTGCAAAAATATCTGCCAGAAGTATAACAAATAATTGAGCTTAAAGTTCTATATTGGTACTAACGAACCTGAACCACGCATATAATGAACTGAAGTTAAATTTCATTTCAATAATAAAATGGCAACAGTTTTGATGTTATTAAAGACTCACTAATTGACGCGTGTTTTATTCCTCAAGCTGTTGAAACTACTGTAACATCACGTCCCCGCGTTACTCGCCCTCGTGGTTCACCGATTCGTCGGGGTTTCGGACGTGGTCGGGGTCGTGCACGTGGTCGCGGAAGAATTCAGAAACCTACAGTTACTAAGGAAGAATTAGACGCACAGTTGGCTGCTTATAATGCTCAGGTAATTCGTACATCTTTATTAATATATTTCTGTTTGACTCTCAAGAATGTAAACCTGGTTTGTCTGACTTATTAAGCATTTAGGCAAAAGTAGCCGTTTAGTTCTCTGCTTAACTTTCTTCAAATCGTAAGCGCCTAAACGAGTCCAGGACAGGTTATTCTTGACATGGGTTCAGAAATGTTATTACTGTGGTTACAGTTCGGCTTGAAACATAAACACTAGTGTGAGCACTCAGTTCGTAAATGATGTTATGCAACTTGGTCAGGGTTTTAGGTTCGCCCCATACCCGATAATTATGTATCTAGATGTCTGTAAAATGTAGTTTACTAGGCATAGGATTGGTGTCAAGTTTTTCTTTTGTGCTCTTAAAGTTGAAATTCTCTTGTCTTTCAGTACAACGTGAGATTATAATTTAAGAGATCCTTCAAGAATATCATGTTATCGATGCAATTGTCATATATCTTGATCCACTGATTGATCTGAGTCATGTTAAAAGGTAAACTATTTGGTTGGTACGTAATACTTGTATGCAATGACCGTAGATGTTAACTGACATGAGCCTAGAACCGGTTGTAGTATTGTGGCTGCATTCGTTTTCTGTCCTCTTAATCACCAGTTAAGTACCATCCCTAGATGTCCAGTTCAAATACTAACCGTGTTTTCTGTTTAAAATGTTACTATGTAAGTTTGGCTCAAAGTTAAAACACGCTCATATTCCTATTTATCTAGGATCCATCTCATTCTTTGTTTAGCTTTGTTTCCAAATTTTGCTATAATATGGGTTACGTATTAGAGCTATTTTGAAAGTTACTCGTTTTTTGTTTTGGTGCAATCTACTTGCTTCATTTGCACAGTTGCCCACTACAACAACTTATATGAATCCGGTGTCCATCTTGTTGTGTTAATGAGGTATGGCAACTTGGACCGATGCATATATGTGCCTGGTCCTACGTTGTAGCTGACTGACTGACAACAACTAAAACTGCTCTTTTAGGAGCTTGTGTAACTTCTAGTTTAAATAATCTCGTAAAACTCACGAAAAATCTGCCTTTCCCTTCGCTTTTTTTACAATGCTATTTAGTACAGAATATTGATAACTACTGACTGATGCTCAGTGAATTGTAAGCAAATATACACTGAGTTAAGTTCCCATGCTTCGCAGCATAGCAATTAAAAGAGAACAAACCAAAGTAGTCCAAAAAAACTAGTTGAGAATCAAATAGGAAGCTTATCTGAATGTGCATTTACCATCTTATTCAACAAAGTTCGTCGTTTCATTAATGTTTGCTGTCTCTACACAGTGTTACCCGACATTATTTACGCAGCGGTTAAAGCACACATAACTTGCTTTAAAGGCATTCTTAATCTAATATAAACAGTCTTCATACGTTTTTTAGGCTATTTCACAGTACCGAAGTAACGCCAATCTAAATGCTTCTCCGTATACTCGCTCTTTGATTTTACATGTTTATAAATGCCGAACGAACATATATTAGTGCTGTGACTTATTCACTCTTAGATCTTGAGAAGGGTTCCATAATAAGTAGGTTAGTAAGCATGAGTTCTTTCCAACACATAGTTAGCGTTAACACACCATTTTTCGTTGAAAGGGAATAAAACCCATTCTATTATTCAAAAGTTTGGATTCCATCACAACCAAACAGGAGCTTGTCATTTGTTTACTAATCTGATGAGAGTTTCTGGTTATGAGGCTTATCTCTAAAGAGTTATTTCTAGAGACATTATCAAAGGATTTCTAGAATTTACCTATCAGGACCTAATACTTTTTCACCTCAAAACTAGAGTACTTTTTTAAGAGTTGTCAATCTCAATCACGTTGTCGGTGGATAATTAGACTCTATAATGAGTAGCTACAGCTTAGTTACACTGTTTCGCATGATATTGCGCACATTTTTCTAGTCGACCAATCTTTGAGTTAGTCTGTGCTCCCTTCTTTTAGCAATAGTTTTTTTTAATAGCCAACTCTATACCACTGGCAAGTCTAAAGAGTTGTGTACTAATGCCAATCTTTTCACTTTTATCCTTCTCCACCATTACTTAGACAAATTTTAAATCTAAGTCGCCTCCGCTCATAATTGTCCTTAAGGCTGGGCAAAATAACTTGACTCAGTAGACTCTAGCATCTCTTAGTCTTTCGGTTAAATTTACTGTAACAATCCTCAGTGTCTTTTTGTGTGAATGAAGAGTAGAAGTATACAGGTCTCAAATATTATTGGAATAGTTTTGAATTTCTTGCAAACATTAGTATCATAAGACAAACACTTTTTTCTTTCTGACTCAAGAAATTTTCTTGTTAATAAGGTAGGTAAGTTTGTCTGTTTAGTACAGCCATTTCTTTTAATTAATAGCATTAAGAATAGAACGTCATCGCTGTCTGACGCGCACATCACGTACTTGTGTTTATGCAGTATATATGTGTCTAGTGCATTTTTCGAAGAACTGATGGTTCATTATTAGCTTGTTAGTAGTTTGTCTCGTGCATTGACTTCCAGTGTTTATCCATACTAAACTGTATCTTTATTTCGTTCTATTTTCAGCGTGCTTGATCTACTCTCACAACCTCTTGTTTTTGGAGTAGACTCGACAAAATCTGTCAACTCTCCAAATTTCTTGTCCCTATTTAATGTATGTCTTTGAGTCCATATAAAAAATAAAACAATTTATCATATAAAAGTTTAATTTTTAGTATTTTGTATTATCACTACCGGTAGGACAACAAAAAGAGGAACAATAGTTTTTTCTTTAAATACTCAAAATTCCTTGGAACAAAAAGTATTAGTTGTTAGGTGTTTGCTATTGTTGGGGTGTGACATTTCATTTCAAGAAAAAAATTCACTACAACTATGTTACGAACACCATTACGTGATTTTTGTGGATTGCACTGTTCGACCTTTAGAAGTAATTATAACAACAGCTGTGTCGTGCGATCGTTTCATAGGTGTGGTGTGATTGCTCATATTCAGTTGACACTGAGATTCTTCTGATGTACTACTGTCAGGCGATAAAGTTGCATCAGGCAACTGATTGTCTTGTAGATTTCTAAATCCATTTGGATCTAATTAAAATATAAGATTCAATAATTACATATCTTAGATATGGGTAAAAGCTATATCGAAATAACATGACCAACATATATTTATCATTATAGACAGTCAGTGAGAAATAGTTTCACTTGAAACCAACATTGTTTCAGTGTGGAGTCATTTATTTCCAAGGTTTGTTTTAGATACGGACTTGGTGATATGCGGACAACCTGAACATGTGTGCCGGGTTCCATATTGCGTATGACTCGTTTATTCCGATTGTTTTGTAAGATAATACGTGAAAAAAGAACTGTTCTTATTTTTAAGTTGGAAAGCCTATCGACAAATGTGAACCTTAGAGGTTTGTTACTTGGTATATAGTGTAAGAGGGGGGTCCATTTGAAATGAAGCTGGCTGTATGCTGTCTAGTAATTCTGTAACACTGCTACCAGTTACATTCCTAGAACACTGTCATTTATATTCTAAACAGTAATGTGCCCAAAGGCAGTAGCGTCCTACGAATCATTTCTGCTTGTCCACTCGAGGCGGCAGTTCAGTCTAGCATATTCCGTACGTTGATAATTGCATAAATATGGTTATAGTTCTCATTAGCCGCATTGCACGGTAACGGCGGACGATTCAGGCTTATGCTCTCCTACCAATGGGTATAACTCCACCATCAGTAAGGTATTTACTACCTCAATTTTTATTTATGGTCTTGAGTTGCAGTAGGTCAGCGATACCTTTCACACGATTATAAATATTCAATTTAACACTCGAAATAATATCGCATGTTTCAAAGCGATCATATTTCCTCTTTGCTGATGTTAAGAATTTCAAGTAGTATCTTGAGTCGATTGCCCTTTAGTCAAAAATAGTGTTTATCATTTCCAAGTACCTGGTGAATGAATAAACATGATTTCATCTGTGACGAGTACAACCTAAAAATAGCAAAGATTATTTAACATGTTAGTAAGTATTTCGAGCTTCCTTAATTCATTGTAGAACAAAGCATTTTGCTATCAGTCTTTGTGCGATATTTACATGTAGTTTTATTTCTATACACAAATATTATACAGCTCTGAACTTACCTTCAACTCGTTCAATACTAGAATTATCCACCTCTGAAGACTGTTCAGTATTTCCATTTGTCTGCTCATCTAGGTCATCATCGTCTTCTTCGTCACCCTCCTCCACTTCATCATCATCATGATAGCATAAATACTCATTTCTATAACTCATATCATTCCATGATGCATTTTTTCGCACGATTCTGCCACTAGTATTTTCATGTCTAATTTTTACATCTGATAAAGTTTCATCAATTACTGAATAACTAGATGGGAAATGATATTTACTATTACTACTTAATTTACAATTACACTGGAAAATTTCACTGGAACTTTCAAATAAATGTTGATTTTCAAAAATTGGTTTGCCAATATTATTATTAATATTAGTAGTGCTTTTAATGAGATTATGCGTTATCGGTGAACTACTCTTCCTAGCATCATCATTATTATGCAGTAATTCTTGGGAAATTGAAGCTTGATCAATATTAGCCGAGTTCGATTCGTAATATTTCATTCGTTTAGCTGGTTTTCTTATTGTTTTCATCGGATCCATAGATCGGTCTATTCCTCTTGGTAGTGTTCTAGATTTGAATTTCGAATTCTGATGACGCAAATCATTCCCATCACTAGTTGTTTCACTTTCATTATCGTTTTGTGAAATACAACAAGACGAGGACTCATCACCATCGTGGGAATTTTGTTTCTGGTTATTCCCTTGTTTCTGATTTGGCATTATTATCCAGTTAGGTGATGATGACGATGGTAATGCTGTTGATGGAGGTGCTACTTGTGGGTGGTATAGTTTTGTATGATATCGTTGTACGCTACTCATAATATTATTAGTAGTTGATGTGACAGGTGTTACTGATACTGTTGTTATTGTCGGCTTCATCATCGTCATGTTGGTTAATGATGGTAGGACATGTTTAATATCTTTTTTAAATAATTTATAGTGATGAGGATAGTTTTCATTTTCCATGTCTGTCAGTTCACCGTTTGTAAATTGATTTAATTTATTTAAAGTGAATAATTCCCGTGGAGTTGATTGAGGTTCTTGTATATATTGTGAAGAATCTTTTTGAGGTATACCAATTCTTTGGTGTAATGGAATGTTGCGTAGTTGTGATTGCTCTTGAAACTTGAAAATATTAAAAGCGGAAAAGCATTTACTATTCAGCTAACTGCAAACGGTCTGTCCAGAAAATATGTGAACTGAACTACTCAAGTTGTTAGGACTGGACTTATTGGATTATACTTAAATACCCAGCTTAAATTAGTAGCCTGTCGTGTATGTGTGTTAGTTTAGTACTAATGACTAACTGGCCGTTACATCAGGACAACCCACTTGAAGATTCATCAATGTAAGAATCTTGTCCATACTTCTGTCACTATGCTAGATCGTTCTCTATTAATTCACCATCTTAGCCCTTTACAGTTCTATTTTGTTACTGGAACGTAAAATGGCCACTTAAAAAAGGCACTGGGTCAATGGAGATAGTGAAACGATATGGTTGCTAAAAAAGAATTTACTTGACACACTAGATTTTGTAGAATCCTCTTACAACTGATGCCATTTTTTAAAGTTTTCAGGTAACGTTTAAGCTTTATAACCCTGACTGTTAAAAGTTGTAGTAGATTAACCTCGAGATAATTCATTAGGCCTTGTACATCAATCACCCTGATAACCGTTATTAAATGAGTCCTAACGGTATATAAATTTAGAAAGCAACACAAACTTTTAACTACAGTATTTTGTCGAATAGCACAGATCGATAAACCTCGAGTGGGAAAGCCAATGTGCGCGAGTGAGCGAATTAAGAGTCCAATCAATGAATAAGATTCAAGCACATACATATATATGGAAAGTGATGCGAAACGGAGATGGTCGTTAAACTAATAGGGAACGAAGCGAGGCGGAGATGGTGAATGAGCAAACTCTTCTTGACAAAGTGAGATTCGATATTTATAAACAATACACACGCATACACTCACAAATGAGCGAATAATTGACAAGATCAAAATATGGCTCAAGACAAATAAACAAATTGGTCTGTTCGAAAGCTAGAATAATCCAATGTGAACTTGATATAGTACTAGGTTCCATATATTAAATTTGTTATTAAACAGATTCAATCAAACTATACAAATAAATGAGTATATAGAATTAAGTAGATATTTATTAATAAGCCCCCAATTTGAACATTTCTATACCAAGTCTGTTCAAAATCAATGATGAATGATTCTTAATAAAATTCACTATACTCATGATATTATTATTTTATCAGAATGGGTTTTGTGGAGAATTTACGAAATTTCACAGGTTTTTAAATCATGAGTCAGTTGAAGCTAGACCACCATTGAAAACCTGGAAGCACTGGACGGCCGTTTCGTCCTGGTATGGGACTCCTCAGCAGTGCGCATCCACGATCCCGCACCACGCGAGGCTCGAGTAGTCTCATACCAGGACGAAACGGCCGTCCAGTGCTTCCAGGTTTTCAATGGTGGTCTAGCTTCAACTGACTCATGATTTAAAAACCTGTGATATTATTATTTCATATAAAACTTAAACTCACTATAAAATTATTTTCATGTTTTGCTCGTTTCGGTGCAATACCTTTAAAATGTTTACGTTTCTGTTCACGTTTCCATTGTTGTGATTGTTGATGTTGATGTTCTGTATTCAATATAGAGAATATATTTATATCTGAAGTAAGTTGTTGTTGTTGCTGTTGTTGTTGTTCAAAACTATGTCTTGGTTGATAATACGTTTTTAAATCATTTTTATCATATAAATTATATTCATTTGGTAATATTTTTTGTTTTAATGAAGTACATGAAACATAAGGTGTAAATGCTGAATTATTTGTTTTAATAGGTCGAACTGAAAAACTTCGTCTTAGATTATCTAATATAAAGTAAATATGAGATAGAAAAAGTAAGTTATAAAACATATTGAATAATTTGGCGAAACTATAATTTATGAACGAATCAATCAGATATAAGATAGTAAGTTTCGGATTTTGGCACGAAATTCACTCATCTATGTGGTTAAATAGAGTTTTGGCATTATAGCTTATGTCAGCTCGTGATGATTACCCTAAATCTAATTTCTAACCTTAACGATCAACTGTTAATCATAATTCCAATTCCTCACAGTGGTTTATAACCCTCATTTAGGTGTACACTCTCAAAGTCAGTCTGGCTTCGCTCAAAGGTCGTCCATAACTTATAGTCTCACCTTAATGCAAAGATTTTAGAAGAGTTGAAAGATCTTCCAGATGTATTCTTTACTTGGGAAGGCTAGAAAGTCAGATGATTGAAATCAGTCCGTTATATAATGTTAAATTCTTTTTCATAAATTCATTATCAACATTTATTCTGAATAAATAAGGAATGAATGGGTAATCAATGAAATTCATCGACAAACATATGAAGCAGATGAAAAGAAAGACAAGTGCACCTACCGTCTCGAAGAATATACTTTTCTTAAAATTAAAATTCCTAAATGATGTTACCGAAGAAATTGTGACACAAAGGTTAAGAAATGCAGTACAGAAAACATTTAATGCAGCCAAACTGAGTG